ATAATAGCAGGGGTATTGAGGAATTTCATCTAATTTCCCAATCCAACCAACCTGCTTCTCCTCAAAGGTTCAAACTTCTGGAGGACCCCTGATGTCTCTGCCCTGGACTATAAGGATTGTCCAGTACCAAGATCTATGGTTATACCTGGCTTGAGCTTAAAATACTCAACAGTAATACAAATTGCCCCAAAGCACAGGTATCACAGTAACTGTCACAAGCAATGTCATGGTTAACAGTAATAGTGGAATTGATCAACCATTCCCAAGTTGACTGAGAAAAAGATGATCCCCAGCCCGGCCACCACAGAGCTAACTGTGTTCATTGCCAGGTTGCTTTAGAACTGAAAGCAAGTAAGAATTCATTAAACAGTCAACCCATTAACACATGGTTATGGAGCTGCCATTATGTGACCAGTCCTGTTTAAGGCATAGAATGACCCCAACAGCAAAAGGAGTAAGATTCACTTATTGTATGTTTTTTTTTTTCCAACTTCATTCTATGTGCTGTCTTCCTCCATTAAATTGTATACTCCTTGATGACAAGTAGTAAGAAAGGACATAGAGAATAGAACTTAGAATGAGTGCCTGGGAAGCTTTGATTGTATGAAGAATACATATTTCTACTGTTTGATTCCAAAAACTCTTCTATAATCTTCCCATATTCTCTTTTTCAATCTTTCCCCTCTCCTTGTCAGCCACTCCCCTGTAGGGTCTTCTCCTTCTGAGACCACAAAGTTCACCTTTCCGTCATTACTAGCCCTTTCTTTGATCTCTATGTCTCACTCCTCTCTCCTCCTACTCCCCTCCCCTACTTTCAGGTACCTTCTCACCATGTTATGTTTTCCCATTAAAAGAAGCATTCACCTGTCACCAGTTCTGTTCCCATTCACCCCTCTCTCCTCGTATATGTTTAGAAACAAGCCTATTACTGGTCTTTCTGTTGTCACTCAGTGTTGCTGTCTGCATTTTTCACTCCTCCTACATTTCTGTTGTTTCAGGTATTCAAGAAGGAAATAATCTTTTCATTTTTGGTTTTTTTTTTCTTTTTTAAAAGTTTCAGCCTCTTCTTTACTATTTAACATCTCTCTTTTATCCCATATGGTAAAGCTCAGATTTGAAGGAGTGCGTTCTGGACTGCGTCCTGAGCTCCAGTGCTCTTTGGAACATACTATTCCATTTCCTCCTCCTTGCTCTAGTGGATGTGGAACAGCATTGAGTTATTTGAATGGCCCTTCCTTTGTATCTGGAGATCATTTTTTTGACGGCCTGAAGAACTTTTCATTTCTGAATCGAATTGCTGAACTTAACCACTATGTGTCCTGGCATTTGAAGCCAGTTTTTGCTTGCTTGCTTTTGTTTCTGTTTTTCTGGAGGCGATCTGTGAATGCTTTCGATTAGAATTGCATTTTCTATGTTCAGAAGTTCTTGAGCGGTTCTCTTCTATTATTTCCTTCATCATAGTGCTAAGGTTTTTTTGTTTTGTTTTATTTCATGCATCATGTTCTTCCGGAAGACCTGTGAGCTTAAGGTTGTCTTCAAAATCTATATATATTTGCTTACAGAGTGAATATTTTCCTTTAATGTTCTTTTTTTTTTTTTTGCTTTTCTTCTTCTAGATTGTCTTTCACCTCTGTGTATTTGCATTTCCAATCTATTATTCTCTCTTTTGTTTCTTTGGTGAGATTTGCCATTGAAGATTCAAGTTTTTCTTTCTGCTCATTATTTTTGCTAGGAAGTAAAAGGAAGAAGTAAATTCCACTCTCATGATTTTCATTTCTCTTTTAAACTATTCAGGAACAGTATGTTGTACTTCTGCCTTCTCAGAATCTATAGGGTCTCCTGTCTCATCAAGTGTTGGCTCATTTTCCTTCATTCTGCAGCATTAATAGATGCCTGAACTTATTTAATAGATCTGGAGGCCCTATTTCCCTCTGTTGTTACTGTTTTTCCTGTTGATTTATCTGTTTATGTTCAAGGTCTTTGAGATTTCATCTTCCTGGAATCTTTGGCACCTTCAGTCTCCTCCCTCCATCCCTTATTTTCCTGATCAGTCACTTCCTGACTCCCTCTCCTCTAATTGTGGTTTCCTCGAGGGCTGGACCTGAAAGTGTCTCAGCCTTCTCCCACACTGGGAAATTCATGGTTCATCATCCTATGTAACTTTCCCAGATGATTTTAGAATGGACAGAACTGGCCCCATCTAGCTGCGATACTCTTCCCTCAGGCTGGGTGAAGGGCTGCGCAGCTTCCTACGTGTCTTAACTTGGTGGCATTCTTTCTGTTCCTTAATTCTCTGCCCTGACACCAACAGGGCAGAGCTCACTTTCCCTAGTACTAACAATTCAGAGCTTTGCAGTGCTGGTGCTTCTTTGGGGTTGCAGCCCTGAGCAGGCTTTTGCTCTGAGGATCTGTGGCCAAGCAGGCTGTTGAGGCCCAAAGAAACTTCCACAGCTGAAGCCAGGGTTCTACAGCACCAGAAAGAGGGAGGGAGGACCAGGGTGTAGGAGAGGATTTTGGTAAAAGTTGGTCTTGTGTCCATGGGTTTGCTAGTTCGGCCTTGCTCCTGGTAGTGTGGGAGGTGGGGCAGGGATGCTGAGTGAGCAAACATTAGTTCTTGGATTTTATTTTGTTCTGGTTTTTTCTTTATGTTCTTTGGTTTCCAGGAATCTGAGACCGTAGAAAGAGCTGAAATTGCTTTATCTTTGGTATATAATTTGTGTTCTGGAGAGCTTTGAGAGGTCCTGAGGATCAGAGGAGATCTAGTTCATTGTCTTGGTGCTCACCTGACCCAGAAGTGACTTTCATTGTATTTTAACACCAACTTCAATGACCTCTCCCAAAGAGACTATAGACAACGTTTGTTTGCTTCTTATTTGTTATTATGCTTTAAGAGGCAATGAAATCTTAGTCATAGACATTTTAACTGTCATTCTTTGAGGATTACATGAGGAGACCAAGAGTTCAATTACTTTTCTGTACATATTATTAACTGTGATGGTTTGAGAGAAACAGTGAGAAGACTGAATGAAAAGACTAAAATAACTCCTTTACTTTGAAAACTTTTTAACTCTTATGTTTTCAAAAAAATTCATTAGGAAATGAATTCTTGAGAAGAGACTTTAATTGGCATTTTGAGAGAGTTGAATGGTGGACCTCTTCTTCTAGAATGAAGAAGCTAGGGAAGCTAGGTGGCGCAGTGGATAGAGCACCAGCCCTGGATTCAGGAGGACCTGAGTTTGAATCTGTCCTCAGATGCATAACACTTACTAGCTGTGTGACCCTGGGCAAGTCACTTCACCCCATTGACTAGCCAAAAAAAAAATGCAATGTAGAATGAAGAAGATAGTACCAGTGGTTCGAAGACACACTGAATACGATTGTTGCCACAGCAGATTCATTTTCAGTAATTATTTGAACATTTTTATTATTTGTTTTGTAGTTAACAAATTGTATAGACCATAGACCTAATATTTATTTAAATCAAAGTTACTGGGGAAAGTGTGCAGATTATACCAAAGGAGACGAGCAAAAGCCCATGGGAAAAGAGTTTTCTCCAATTTATGCAACAAAGTTTTTTGCTAAACTGGAGTAGGCGCTCAGAGATGAGGGATTAATTAATATAAGAAATGATGCAGTTTTAATAATTGGTGAGAAAATGTCAGAACACATGCTAATTATTTCCCTAGAACTTAGAATGTAAATGAGGTTATTTAATCAAATCCTCCCATTCTACATATAAAGAAAATAAGGCCTAGAAATGTTAAGTAATTTGTCAATGTTCTCACAGTTATTAAAGGTCAGAGGTCTGGTTCCATGATGTCAATTTGACTCCAAAGCCAGTACTCTTTCCACTGAGCCACACTATAACATGTGAAACCTAATAGAGTCAGAAAAGCTTTGACTAGAGTACTGGGTCTGGATTCCAGGAAAACCGAGTTCAAATCATGCCTCGGACACTTACTTGCCAGCTGCATGACCCTGGTGAAGTCATTTAACCAGTTTGTCTCTACAGCTCAGAATTGCTGTGAGGATAAAATAACAAATTACTCATGAAGCATTTTCCAAACCTTAAAAAAAAGTAAGTGCAAGATATCATTGCTTATGTTGCTGTAGTCATTGTGATTGTTATAATAGATATAAAATAATAGACATAATAATAAAGGAATAGATATAAAATTGTACTTAAACTCATAATTGAATCGGAAGTTCAGATCTGGAGCAAGGGAAACCATCATGTATTTGAACCTAATTTCCTCTATTTCCAAAATTTTGCCAGAGCAGTGGCCAGATCGTCTAAGTCAATACTATGGTAAGAGGAAACATTGGAGAAATAAGAATTATAAGAAACAAGAAGCCCTGACATGATGACTAGCAAGTTAATGTTACATGCTCATCAAGGTTGGCAAAACACTTTACAAACATTATTTCAACTGATCCCAAAAAAAACTCCACGAGGCAGGTGCTATTGTTGCTCTTCATTTTACATATGAGAAAACTGAGGCTGAGAAAGGTTAAGCGATTTTGCCGGAGTCACACAGCTGGTAAGAGTCTGAGGCCAGACCTGTGTTCAGGTCTGCCTTACTCCGCCTAGCACACTGCACACAGCTCTGTCTTGCTGACACTTACTGGCATCTCAGGCTTACAGAGCAGTTGACTGTGCTGTGCCATGCAATGCTCACAACCATCCTGTGAGATCGGCAGGCGGGGTCTGGCTGTCCCGAATTTATGCCAAAGGAAACTGAAGTGCAGAAAAGGTGAGGCTATGGTGGCATAGATAGGAAGCCTCAGAGAAAGGATTTGCATCCCCAGCTCTTCTGACTCCTAATCCAAAGGTCTTTTTTTAAAACAATACACTGAACCAGGAAGCTTTAAAATGAGAGTTTGGTGGTAGAGGGAGGGCCAATGATGAAGCTGTTTCTGATTCTGTGGGGTCAGAAAAGGATGCCGAATTTTTGAGATTAGAGTTAAGTTCTTCCAAAAATGTCTCACTGACAGGGAAGCAGGGTAGAAAGGAGGTATTTTCTTTAATGGCCAAGGTGCTGGAGGAGCAAACAGAGAGGTCAAAGAGCAAAGGTGATGGAACCCAGACTACTGGAGGCAGAATCACGGGACGTCGTCAGGTAAAAGCAGGAGAAAATTCCAAAGGTCAAGAATCTTCATTTGTGGAGGACGGGAAAGGATCTAGTTTTGTGCTGCCATCTCCATTTCTTCTTCTTCCCTTATCTTATCTTCTAGGGACCCTATTTCCCAATATTCATAGGCTTCAACAGGCTAGGCTTGATACAGCCAAAGAAAAATATGATTTACTGACATTTTTGCTGACATTATTGTGAGCAAATACTGAGATAATCAGGTTGTTGTGAAAAATGAGAAAGCAGATGTGATTAGCCCATGGCCAAGGCTGAAGGTAACTGTGAACAAAGAATTCCAGAAAATAGAGTCACTTTGCTCTATGTTTCACTGGGAAACAGCCAGTAATGGAAGGAGCCTTCCCTAGGGATGCGAAAGCATTTGTTTTATATGAAACTGTCAGGATGGCTTCCAGGCAATGCACTGGTGTCAGAAACTGTGCTTCGAAGCATTGCCTCTCCTAAGGAGGCCTTAGCACCTGGGTTCTCTGGTACGTAGGGTGGAGGAGACATGATAAGAGTGACCTATAAAGCAAATGGAAACTGTATTCATGAGTCATCCAAGGGTGCAGAAAGAGAGGTGAAGCAATTGTCAGGGTAGAAAATCTCTAGGGACTTCCCTTTTATGCAAAGGGCTGGCTCTGGCTTAAAGCAACTTGGAAGGAAGGTATTGTAATGGTACTGACTGGCAACTTCTCATGTACACTTATTCTTCTAATTCGCTCTCTACACTGTTCTCCTCTCTTCCCACCACCTTTCTGCCTTATGGCATCCTTCGCTTTAAGTCCTCACACTCAATCTGCAAAGCCACTCTGGAATGGGCTGCTCAACGAATTCTCAAAAGAGGAGGCAGGGAAAGAGTGATCCTGTAATTGCCTCCTTTATTTATGCTGAATACAAAGACATGACACTAAACCAGAAAGCCCAAGATAGCCAAACCAACCAATGAGACTTAAAGGTATGCCCTCAGTCTAGTTGAGGCATATCTGGGCATGCCCAGAAAGGTGCCACTGTAATCATCTTAAGTACATTGTCAATGGATGTGCCTCATATCCTTTCTAGGTAGATGTAATATCCCAGATAGAGACTCACTAGGTTGTGAAATCATCAAATTGATCAAAGCACTCCCCTGGCAAATTTCTATGTCTTCTCTTTGGGGCCAAGGTAGGGAAAACAAAATGTTCCCTCAGACTTTATTCTTAACTGGGATTCGCTATCTGCCTACTTGTGATGTGAATGGTGCAATCTCGGTCGAGTAGGGATGGTGAGGGAGAAAAGGGTGTCCCTCTTAGTGCCTGAGGATTCTTGACATCCTCACTGGTGGCCCCAGGGGATGATTGGTCTCTGACACTAGATATGATGCTTAAGGGCATGGAGGCAGAGACACACAAACTTCCTCTCTGAAGGTAGGCTGTCCTCTCACTAATCCTTGGAAGGCCCCACTTGGCGATTGTTCCAGGAGAAGCCCTATGGCACAGTCCCAGCAAAGTAACAGAGGCACTACATGATGCCAGCTACTCACCGAACTCTGACTACAGCAGGTGGCTTTGCAGCCAAAACTTGATACTGCGAGGGAGATGGCAAGTTCCAGAATAGCTAGGATCAGTAGTATCACATTGATTCCCTGCAAAGAGGGACCAAAGAGAGAATGCTGAGAGGTGGACACAAGGCTTTACTTCAAACAACTCAGGAAGAAAAAAGGGAAAGGGCATATTAAAGGACACAAAACAGGAGGAAGGTGACTGTCTTGAAACGAAACCTAAGATGTATGAAAAGCTCTTCATAAACCTTAAAATGCAACATGAATGTTAAGTTCTTATTACTAGTCACAAAAATAATGTCACATTTAAGACCCACAAAACACTTTCCTCACAATGACCTTATGTCACATATTGTGCAAGGATGACTACCCCTTTTTGCATATCAGCAAACTGAGTCTCAGAAAACTGCCCTGCCTATGGTCACACAAGCATTCTTCTCTTGCGCTCTATCCCATACACAAGCTAGGCTGGCATCCATCTGAGTACATAATGGGGGCTCAGCACAGGGTTCTTTGATACAGGAAAACTTAAACCCTCTAAAAGAAGACAGATTTCTGACCAGGGGTCAATGTCTATGTCTGTTTTCTTTAGAGATTGGGTGGATCTGGGGTGTTCAGTTGATGGGGGCGGTCTCCGATTCCACAGTGATGCCAGTAGCCATCAGTCAGAGGCCCAATTCTGGGTGTGAATTTCAACGTTTATAATCCACCAAGGGGAAGGGAGAAGAGGGGTGGGGAGCAAAAGCATTTGGTAGAGGAGCTCTTTCTTTTTTGTTGTTGATGTTGGTTTTGGTTTTTTGAGGCAATCAGGGTTCAGTGACTTGCCCAGGGTCACACAGTGTCTGAGGCCAGATTTGAACTCATGTCCTCCAGACTCGAAGGCCAGAGCTTTATCTACTGTACCACCTAGCTGCCCCTGAGGAGCTCTTTCTTCCTAAGCTTGCTTCTCATTTCCATTCTTGCCTCAATCACCCACTGATGTTCTCACTGCATTCGTTCTTCTTTTCTAATCTCCATCTAGGCTAACTTTTGACATTCTCTATCTCCCATTCTTCCCTGCTTTCTCCCACAAGGACCATAGACCAGGAGTAGGCTCATGTTTATCTACTGGCTCTTCTGTTTCTTCCAAATTCTTCTCAGTTAGCATTCTGTCCTTAAAGACTTTCTTGACACCCCTCTCTCCTTCAGTCAGAAGTGGATTTTCTCTCTTCAAATGTTTCCTGAAGCTCTCCTTCACATTTACCTTGTCCTCTTCTGTCATAGATCTTTTTTCCCCTACCTGTCCTTTCCCAAAGAATAAGTGAGACTATAAGTTATCTGCCAGCAAGAACCGTGGCATTTTTTAGTATCTTTATACTGCCTGTGCTGAGTACATCACCTCACAAGTAGTGCTAACTGAATACCCAGATACTTATTTGTTGAATTGAATTTTCGACCCTTTGGAGTTCTCAGAATTCACATTTCTGACTCTAAAGACAGGAATGACCAGAAATGTTAAGGAATTTCCTCTTGTTTCCCAACTCGAGCAAATTACTTCTCAAAGTTTCAGAGCCTGCAGGACACTTGGTGTCTCTGACCTGGCCTGTAAAGACTGCCCATTCCAAAGATCCATGGTCAGAGCTGGCTCCAGCTTGAAAGTACTCACCATCAATATAAACATGCCCAAAAAACAGGAATCAGAGGAACTTTCATAGTCACAAAAATAATGGAGTGAATCTGTCATTGACAAGTTGAATGAGAAAAAGATGATTCCCAGCCCTGCTGCCACCGAGCTTACAGCGTTCATTGCCAGACTGCTTTGGACCTGAAAGCAAGCAAGAACCCATTAATCAGTTAACTCATTAACACGTGGCTATGGAGCCCCTACCACGTGTCCAGTCCGGTTCAAGATTGTACATCCAGCAGCAAGAGAAAGAGACACCCATGGAGCAACTATTATGAGCTAGAGACTCTACAAGCTTCTCCAGATACAAAGACCAACGGACAGTCTGCTTATTTCCCCAAGTCTTTGCATTCTAGGCAATGCAGCATCTGCACTGAGATCCTTTGTTATTGTTGTTCAGTCATTTCAGTCATGTCAGACTTATCATGACCCCGTTTGGGATTTCCTTGGCAAAGATGCTGAAGTAGCTCGTCATCTCATTCTCCAGCTCATTTAACAGATGAGGAACCGGGAGAAACAGGGTTAAGTAACTTGTGCAAGGTTACACAGCTAGTAAGTGTCTGAGGCTAGCTTTGAACTCAAGAAGATGAGTCTTCCTGACTTCAGGCCAAGCACGTTATACATCGAGCCACCATCTAGCTGCCCCTTTCCATGTATTTTTACATAAAGATGATTGAAGAGGTCAAGGGAACTAAAAAGTCAAGAGAGCAATTTTTATTTCTGCTGGTATGGCTGCAGGCTTTCCCAGGTAGCAATCTGAATAATGGGGGAGCAGCCAATAGTGATTCATCCCCTCTGTGACCCCAAGGTACAAACTCAGCCATAAGCATTGGTCAGGCAGGCATATTACAATCCAGCCAAGGGTTGCTGACGTTGTCTGTCAATGACCTTTCCATTCATTTATCCCTTTTCTTTCCGGAGAGCCGAAAAGAGATTAAAAAGAATTTCCTCTTCTTGAGCTATAGACAAAGAGGGAATGCTACTCACCAGAGTGTTTGCAGTTCTGTTCTCTGCAGCAATGGAGAGGGAGCCAGAGATAATGAACTGTGGACAGAAGACGTAGTACATGAATGCCTTAAAACTTTCATTTCAGTCCCGGTTGTGCTCACTCTTTCCCAGCCAGTTGCTGAAAATTGCCTCTGCTATCCCTGAGAACTGATGTCTCTGATGGCTCCATTACATGCTCCAGCTGCTTCATAAACATTTAAACAAGGCACAATTGTCAGGCCTGCCTTCCTTCATAATGGGAATTAACACAGATTACTCTGAAATGCAGGTACTCATGCCAAAAATGAAAACAAAGCTAGTCTCTTATGGCTTATACTCCATGAAAGTTTGAGAAGAAACAAGGCTCTTCAAATGTTACTTACCTACTTACCTACTACGTCTTACCTACCTACCTACCTACCTACCTACCTACCTACCTACCTATCTATCTATTTCTAGATCAATACACATACATGTGTACAGGCATGTATTTGTTTGTGTGTGTATTTTTTCTTCATGTGTGTCTCTGAGTGTATAATGAGATTGGCAAATCATTCTGAGGATCTGAGAGAAAAGTTCCCTCTAACTAATATACTGAAAGGACTTGTTTGAAAGCACAACATCGACTGAGATCATGGTGTTGTGATTCACTGTTGTTCATTAGTTTGTTTACATATAGCCAGTTTCAGTATTAAAGTAACATCTGACAAACTGGTTGGGGAAATACTGGAGGGTTATATAAGGGTTGCTCCAATCACACCGGGAAGAAGAGAGGATTTTTTTGAGTTTCACAACTTAAGGCAGTCAGCAGTCACTAAATACAAAAAGCCCCAGATGTGAGGCATTAGAAAGTATAGGAAAGAGGAGACAATAAGAAAAATCCAGGCACAGTGGAGCATAGAGGAAGATCAGAAGACTGATGACAGAGCAGACATAAAAATTGCCTAAAGAGGGATGCTGACCATGCTACTTATTACTTATTACCTATTATTTTAAAAAGAAGAGTAGAGGAAACCTCTTGTATGATGGAGTAAATTCTGAAGCTTACACCTCTTCAATCCCCCTTGGTCCGAGGGCCCCTTCCTCCCACTAATAGGAGAGGGTGAGTTTGAGAGCTTCTCCAAGATCATTCTTTCTTATTTAACTATAGGTCTTCATCATGTCCCCATGCTGTGTATTTTTTCCCCTGCCCCCAATTTTCAGTTTCATTTAATATGCTGTCTTCCCCATTAGACTATAAACTCCTTGAGAATAGGAAGTGTCTTTTCCCTCTCTTTGTAGCCCCAGCTCTCAGCAGAGTAATTGGCCTTTAGGAAATATTTGCTTGCTGACTCAATCAGAAAATTAGAGCAGATGTTTGCAGGTGGAGTCAACCGAGAGAGTCAACCAAGAGCATGCATGCTCTATTGGAAAAGAGACATTGCTTTAGGGAAAGATAATTGGAGAAAGCACAAGCCTCTCCTGTTGGGAGTTTATTGTCATTAAGTGCCATCTACCTCCTAATTGATGGGAAACCCTTCGTGGTTACCTGTGTTTCCCTGCTGAGTTCTATATATCTCAAGAGAAGAAGAAAAAAAGCAGAAAACATGAGATTTGCATTTCCATTTCTGTAAGCAATACGGATATGCTTTTCTTTTTAAAAAAGTAACAGTTTGGGGCAGCTAGGTGGTGCCCCAGATAGAGCACCAGCCTTGGAGTCAGGAGGACCTGAATTGAAATCTGGCCTCAGAAACATATTTCCTAGCTGTGTGACTCTAGGCAAGTCACTTAACCCCAATTGCCTCACCCAAAAGAAAAAAATGACTAAAACAAAACAAAAAAAAGTAACCATTTCTTAGCCTCCTAATAAGGATAGCTGTATGAGAAAAGAACTTCATATCATGTCGGTGGCCCAAGAGTCAGAGAGAGTTACATTTGCATAGTAGAACAGCTGTGAGGACAAGGAGGGGAGCTGATAACAGAGTTCTTCTGCCCAACAGGTGATGCATGGTACAGACTGTTTCTGGAACAGAATAAGAACATCAGTGGTGATACTAGAAAGGTGAGTTGTTTTTTATGTGATTTCCTGCTTGGTTTCTGTAGGCACGTGCTCTCTCTCTTCAGTGGACAGTGGCACACGTTTACGGGAGGGCTGCTGTAGGTGGTTCCTTTTGCTGAGTAAATGCTTTGATTATTCCTGTTCTTACCTTCCATCCACTAAATGCTGTGATTACTCTCGCTTTTGCTTTCTTATTTGATAAATGTTTCACACATAAGAATCAATGGTGAGTGATTTTGCATAAACACAGAGCACTTCAGATAGCACCCGAGAGTTCCAATGGAAAATGATAAGGGTGAATCTAACCCTGAACTTGTGTTATGCCCATGACTCTGCATGACTTTGTATGCTAGCCACACGGCCACTCTTCTGGGAAGAACTTGACCTTACAAGAATGGTGGTGACTTGGGTTTATGAGTCAGCCCAGAGAAGCAGGGAAGGTCAATCCCTCAATCAGGCCACAGGAAAAAAAAAAGGGTTTTTTTTTTTTAAAAAAAAGGATTCCAATTAATATATCATTTTTAAGAGAAATGAGCTGCTCTGGTGAGTATCTCAATTATTTTAAATTTAGTCACTTGGCTGTCTTAGCATTATTGCAGAATTAACTAAACACTGTACTTTGCATCATAATCCTGACTCACATACAAAATAGTTGCATGCTTCTAAGGAAGGCCATCAACAACTGAATCTCAGTTTTCTCATTTGCAGAATGGGGATGATAATACCTGTGCTATGTGCCTTAGAGGGTTCTTGTGATTAAATGGTTTGGAAATCTATAAATCGTGAGCCATAGAGAGTGAAAAGCACATTTCTCTCCAGATGATCACACAATAACATGGCAAGGTGGAAAGAGTGCTGGCTTTGTCCCTAGGAAAACCATGGTACAAATTCTAGCTGTGGTGATCAATAGCTCTGGGACCTTCAGTAAGTCACTTCACGGCTCTGAACTTGTAAAAATAAGGTGAGATGGACTATAATGCAGTCCAAGCTCTACATCTCTCATCCCATTGGGCTTTGAATTGTTGTAATAAAAAATGACTGGGCTTCCTTATCATGGGCTTGGATACTATCTATTTATCTATCTATCTATCTATTGATAAATCTATTGATCTATCATCCCAGTATACTGTATAGAGTAGATTATATATTTATGTGTATTACTATATATATTATATATTATCACATTTTACACTTTATATATGTCATATAATATATATAACATACTATTTCAATATATAATACATATCATGTATCATAATATCAACCCTTCCCTGTCTCCACCATTGGAAATTGGAAATGAGAAACCCCAGGCATAAAGGACATATTGTAGACAGATTCCTTCCTGTCTCCAAAGAACAGAGGGGAAAACTCCATATTTCAGAATTGGTTTTATTAATTCTACTCACAAACGCTGTTCCCCAGAATATGTAGCCAGTATGAAGAAGAAAATATTCATGCACATAATAAGTTTTCATAGGAACCAAAATGAGAACCATTCCCAAAGTGAAGTTCATCAGGGCGATCATGATCTGGACAGTCTAAAAGGGAAAGAGATTTTCATGAGTACATAGAGGACTGAGTCACTTCTCTCCAGAAATGGAGTCAAGATTCTTTTGCCTTTCCCAAATGTGTTTTTTTAATAGAACTTTACTGGGTATGAGCAAGAGGTCACAGTAAACTGGCATGTAGTAGAAGCTTAATAAAAGTGTATTATAGGCTACTTGATTGATTGTTTGAGATTTCAAGTCAGGGAAAATAGGATCAATCCCCAGCTCTACTCCTTAAAACCTCTAGAACTGTGGACAAGTCCTTTCTTTTGTTGTCCTTCAGTCATTTTGCAGTTGGCCCAACTCTTGGTGATCCTATTTGGGGTTTTCTTGACAGAGATACTGGGATGCTTTGCCATTTCCCTCTTTAGATCATTTTTGCAGATGAGAAAATTGAAGTCAATGAGAGTAGGTGACTTGCCCAGAGTCACACAGCTAGTAAGTGTCTGAGACCAGTTTTTAACTCATGAAAATGAGTCTTCCTGATTCCAATTCCAATGTTCTATCCACTCCACCACCTTGCTGCCCAACCTCAGTCTGTTTCATCTGTGAAATAGATGGTTGGACTAAAACATGTCTACAGTCTTATCCAGCTCCAAAATCCTAGAATCATATAAGATCGAGAGAAGTAGAAAAGCATAGTGGATAGAGATCTTGCTGAATGATCAGGAGGACCTGGGTTGAGGTCCTCTTAACTCTTACATAGACTGATCGTGTTTTCCCAGATATATCATTTAACTTCCTACTGGCTCCCAAAAATTTTCTAAGATTATAAATGGTAGGGTTGTTGCCTAGCTATATTGGTAGGTGGAATTCTTGTAAGTTCCTCCCAGACAGAAATATATGAATCAATTTCCCAGGAATAGGGACTCTGACTCACCCCCAGCACCTTGGGCTCCCCTTTCAAGAACTTCTGCAGGTATGCTTTCGATTTGTAAAGTTGCACAGATGTCCCCATTGGACCCTGTGGGAAGGAAATGGGACCTGGCTGGGAAAAGGATGGCAACATTCCCTTTGGAGTTGTGTTGGAGCCGATGAGGTCACTGGTGTTGCTGTAAAAAAAGAAAAGAAGTCACATGAAATGTGGGTTTAGGGTGCCCTTCCCTTAAAAAAAAAAGATGGGGGAATGGTTGCCAAAAGAAGCTAATGCAATCTTGGGCTACAGTAAGAGAAGTATGATGTCTGGAACGATGGAGCTGATAATGCCACAGCCTTCTGCCCTGGTCAAATCACAGTTTGGGGTTTTGTAGTTTAGGAAGAGCATTCAACTGGAGAACATGCAGAAAAGGGCCTAGAGACTGTACTATATGAGAGTTGATTGAAAAAATGGAAATGGTTAGCTTGGAGAAAAGATTTAGGTTGTTGAAAAAATAAAATGAGGTGATGGACGTGAAAGGCCGTGAAAGATATCCATTAAGATGCAAAGGCAAGGGGTTATGTCCTTCATCGGGGAAGATAACACTGCTAAAACCATCATTATAGGACACATACATTGTTTTTCTTTGGGGGAGAGGGGGGCTGGCAATGGGGTTATGTGACTTGCCCAGGGTCACACAGCTAGTAAGTGTTATGTGCCTGAGGCCCGATTTGAACTCAAGTTCTCCTGATTCCAGGACCAGTACTTTATCCGCTGAGCCGCCTAGCTGCTCCTAGGACATATACTTTTAACATTTTTTTCCAGCTGGAAACATGGGCTAGTATGGATCAATATATCCTCTCCAGAAATATTCTGGAAGTGACCAAAGGCACATGTCCACACAGATCAGAGCAAAGTGAACTGGCTCACATGAGGTTTGAGACTGACTGGTACTGTATGCATGACTGTCCCAAACTAAAAATGCACAGTTATCATTTTGACTCAGGTCCAGGATCCTCCAGAGACCTTCCACAGTAACCCCCAAAGTTGAGGGAAGTGGAGGTGGAGATGCCTGAATTAAAACGTGAGTGGGTAAGTGGGTCTTCAATCCATCCTTCTCCTTCCCAGCAGTCCCAGATGCTTAGACTATGCTCTATCCCATCGAGACTTCTATAGAACACCGGGATCTAGGCAGCAGGGACATCTTGCGATTTGTGGGACACCTTATGCACACACTCCCAATCCCCTCTCTTCTCTTACGCTAAGAGAAGCAATAAGTAAATCAGGCTGGAAAAGAGTTCAGCAACCGATGGCCCTATACCTTCACATGCAGGCAACTTTGATGACTGCCTAGCCCAAAACACTCTTTCCCTGCTGTCTCTTGCCTATATATCTGGTATCACCTCGGGGAATTGGGACTGTCTCAATTTTGAATTTGTCCCCATGAGTTGCTCCCCATGAAACACACTTAGAATAGTGCCAAGGTAGGCACGTGGTGTCCATTTAATAATTTTTTGTTGATCGATTGATTGAGAGGGAACTGATTGAATGAGCCATATAAATGGGGTTATTGATCTTACTTAAAGGTGGATGTGAGAAACAAGCTTTCACAAATCAGGCTATTTCTGACCGTGAAAAGTATCCAAATTGATAATTTCACCCTTGTTCTGTGACGAAGGCTTGGCATAGAGTCCACAGCTCAAACCTATCTCTTCAAAGTGGACAGACTTCTCCCGACAACCCCCTCATTCTGTCGCAGCACTCTATGAGGATTAGGGAGGTCTAGGATGGGGGAAAATAAATAGGAGGTAGTAAACTTAACTAGCTAGGAGCCCACAACATTCTGATTCCTTGATTCCATGGAACTTTGAGGGCCTAGCATGAGTTTAGATTTGGGTTCAGCTGTGCCATGAGGAAAGGGGCTGGAGAATACAACCTCTCATTTTCCAAAGCTTGCCTCTGTCTAGAGAGGATGGATAGACTAAGCAAGAGAATTGAAAAAGGAAGCAATCTAAGAGCTATTTCTGGGAAGATCTAGGAGAAAGAAGTGCTTTGGAAAGTCAGAAGAGATCCAGATTGCTGTGGGGTACCCCAAGTGACCAGGAAGTCAGGCTTAACAGTTGTTATATACCTTGAACTGGGTTTGAAGACTATTTATATCATAAGCTGTGAAAAGGGGGGAAATAGAGTGTTGGGTGTGTATTTCTATGATCTCTGACTGCTAATATTCTCTCTCTTCCATCCCTTACCTTCTCAGAGTTTAGAAAAGGCTTACGGTCTACACTGCAGGAATGGAGCAAACATGAATACAGGCCTGAAATTTGTGCAAATTGAATTTGAGTGTCTATTCTAGGAGTATCAACCCCCAAGATTTCCCCAACCTTAATCCCATCTGCACAATAAAATGTGGGGATGACTGTCACCAAAGGAAGGGACCTTGTCGGTATACTGGTATGAATTTTTTTCCTCTAGCTTAAGATGCGCTGGCTGCATCTGAGAGCCAGACAATGAATTCTAGACTGAGGAATTCAAAGCAGAAGGATCTCCAAAAAGGCAACAATCTATTCCTCTTGTCTACAATAAACAGAGCAGATTGGGAGACTTCTTTCAGCTGCCCCTGAGCTAGAAGTCTTTGTAAATACCTAAGGGTTGCCCAGTGAAAGTCTCTTTGCTTCAGAAGAATCCAGCCTGGGAAAGGTCAAGAAATAGTTTTTTGGAAATACAGTAAGACCCAGAAGGTCTCTGCTCACAGTCAAAAGATCTTTCATCTTCATCCTCCTGTGACCAAACTTGATCTGTCCTATGAGTCAGGGAGAGCTGGTTGAAGAGCTCCCTGAATCCAAAGACTTGAATATTCCTTCCCCCTCGAGGCCCTCTTAGATTCCTTCCAAACCCATTCTCTGTGGGTTCTGGCTTTTCCTGGAACCAGGGATGGGAACTACCCAGAGTGCTTACCTGTCCTCTCCCAGCTCATCCAGGGTCTCCTGGTCTTCAAGTCTTCCTCCTCACAGTCTGCTAAGAAAGGGATGGAGATCTTCCACTGGGGTTCCAACCTCTCTTGTCTTCCTTCTTTACCCTGATACTATGCTCATCCCACTGGTTTTCTCTTACTTATGTGCGATGACGACTGCAGTAAGCAGTTTCCAAAAATCGTGAAGTGTTACTTTCCAAAATAGGAAGTGACTAATGATAAGTTCATGCCACAAATTTGTCTCATATATTATAGGAAGACACGGACTAGAGTCAAAAAAGATGGGAAGGCATGGATGAATTGCAATCTGCATTGGTGGAGATCGTGTGTCCATTGGATTATTCAAGTCTTAGACAAATGCTAAATCTGTTACCTTGTCTTCAAAGGATTCCTCAAGATATCAATACTACTTGTATTGAAAAACAGGATATCCAAAGTTAGCAGTGAATCTAATCAAAATGAGCTTCCTTTTAAAAAAAACTATGTTATGCCTGATCATATTCACATACATGTGTGTAAGAGGTAACAGTCAACAAGCGTTTAGTAAGAGCTTACTGGCATTCTGGGCTCTGTGCTTATCAATGGGATACAAAGAAAAATCAGCACACAGTGCCAGATCTGAAAGAGCTCATATTCTAATGGAGGAGACAGCATGTGACTAATTAGGTACGTACAAAATATGTATGGTGTAATTAGAAAGAAATCTCAGATGTGTGTGTGTTGTGGGGAGGTGAAGTCGGAGAAAAGGCAAGAAAAAAAAAGGCCTTTTGCAGAAGACAGAATTGGAGCTGAGACCTGAGGGAAGCCAGGAAGTGGAGATGAGAAAAGAGAGCATTCCAGGTGTGCCAGCATCCAGTGAATGGTGAAGTCGAGAGATCAAGCTTGGTATTCCAGGAAGAGCAAGAAGGACAGTACTACTAGAACTTGGAATACTCAGAGGAGAGCAATGTGTGAGGAGGTAGGAAAGATAGGATGCAGCCAACTTGTGAGGGACTTTAAATCCCTTATCAATGATTTCATGCATATTATCCTTCAGATAATAGGGAGCCAATGGAATTTGTTGAGTTGGGATCAGATCTGTGCTTCAGCAAGATCACTGTGGCAAGTGAATAGGGGACGATTGAAATGAGACCGGTTTGAAGCAGTATGACCAACCAGCAGGCTATTATTTCAACATTCAAGGGGAAAGATGATGAGGTCCTACGCTACGGTTGTGGTCGTATGAGTGGAGGGAAGAGTATATAAAGGAGAGAGGTTGTGAAGTTAGAAACCAGGCTTGATGAAGATTGCATATGCAGGGTAAGCGACAGTGAGATGTCAAGGGAAGACATGAAGATGCAATCCTGGGAGCCTAGAAGGAAAATAGTACCCTTATCAGTAACAGGGAAGGTTGAAAGAAAGGAGAGCTTGGAGACAGCAGGAAGAAAACAAATGTGTATGAAAACTTAATAGGTTCATAAAACAGTTTGCCCTATTTATATGCCCTTCAGTGCATCCTTTCCTTTCCTTCTGTGAACCCTCTAAAATGCTTTCTTAGTGTTCTTTTCTGATGTCTGTCATCACCCACTACCCAAGCCCCTATACCCACACACCCAGACATCTTCCCTCATCCCTGACAAGTCTCTGGAATCCCTAGCTTCCTTTAAGATTACCCTCAAGTGCCACCTTCAGCGTGGCGTCTCTCTTAAAGCCCAGCCGCTAGCGTAGCTCTCACTCAGAGTACTGAGAGGCCACTCTGGCTAATTAGGTTACTTTCCGCTTTGTATCTATTGAGTATGTACATACATATATGTGTATCCTGTATTATAGATATAGGTGAGATGGGGAGAGAGAGGGAGGGAGTCAGGGGAGAGGGAGGAGGGGAAAGAGCATTTCCTTGTTAGAATGGAAGCTCCTTGAGGGCAATGGCTATGGATAATCTGGTTCTTGCTGTTGTTCAGTCACGTCCAAGTTTCCATGACCCCATTTGGGGTTTCCCTGGCAAAGAGACTGGCGGGCTTGCCATTCCCTTCTCCAGATCGTTTTACAGATGAAGAACTGAGGCAAGCAGGATTAAGTGACTTGCCCAGAATCACACACCCAGCGTCTGAGACCAGATTTGAACTTTCTAGCTCCAGGCCTGGTGCTCTCTTGCCACCTGGTGGACATATTCATTAACCTACATTCTGAAAATGACCATGCTGGTGCTGAGTCCAGTCCCGTCCCTAGAACTCATTCACGTGTAGCCCGTGTTCTTTGAAGAACTTTTCCAATGTTTACCATACAAATAAACTCCAGCTACCTGGGCAGCGTCTGCTTGGTAACTGAGACACCTCTCTGTCTTATGGCTGAGGACCCACACATTTGAATCAGGCAGATCACCTAGCAGGATCCGCGGCTACCCACCTCTTTGTCCTATTCTTATTTCTGGGGACTTAGGGCCCTGCTATACGACAAAATGTCATTTTTAAAAGTATGTCATGTTACAGCTGTCATGTGAAATTTTAACACTAACAATCAACAATGCTATGCTTTATTCATATTTAAATGTGTTAAATTTGAATCCAGATTTAATGTGAGGCCTTTTCTCCCTGCACATTACCAAGGAAAGTAAAAGTGAAAAATTGTCGAGACCTTTGCAGCTGCTGTGATACATGTGATAAATGTGTCATCTATCTATTTGTCCAAGTCAGCCCTAAATACAGGAGTCAAGTGTTTCCTTGCATTCATATGCCATACTTTGTTCATCCATTTGATGGGCACCTACCTGATTCCTAGTTTCTTGCAACCAGAAAAGAGCTGTTATAACTATTTTCATGCATATTGAGTTTTCATCTCTTTCTTTGATCTCTTTGAGATACAGAACTATCCTACTTGAATTGATTGTTTGAACCCAAACATAGAATTTTACATTTATCTCTCCTAAGTTGCACTTTAGATTGACTTCAATTCTATCTGTCCAATCTATTGTCAGAGCCTGACTCTCTTATACAGAATGTTTTCTATGTCCCCAAGCTTATTTGTGTCATACGCAAATTTGAAAAGAAACCTCTCTAAAGTTTCATCCAAGTCACTGATAACAATTTTAAAGCGACTCAGAATCATATATTGGCCCAATATCCTGATTTAACCATCAATTTGTCACATAATCCTTGCACATACACACATGCACAGACACCTGTACTGACTTTCACCCTCTATTATTTTGCTCAGTGAAACCCTGAAAAAAGTTAGAAGATAGCGAGAGTCCTATTTAATATTCTACTAGTACACTAAAACAACTTCCATAAAGCTTAAAATATGACAGGTTTATGGGGGGAATTTGTCCTGAGATGGAGCTAAGGGCATTGGGCTTCAATTATAGATTTTCTGATATGCTGAAAGGCAGCAAAATGCAGTGATAGAGGCCTTTGGCTGAATGACAAGAGATCACTTGGGAAGTTGGCTACAGCATTTACATAGAAGTTGCATGTCTTCAGCAAATCTGTTAGTCTTCTCCAGGCCTAGGTATATAATATTTTCTCCATTTTCATGAGAGAGGCCAAGAGAAGGGAAATGATTACTTTCTGTCCGCAAAACAGGGAGATAGCTGGTATGGGGGAAAGAACAACAGATTTGGAGACAATTGCCTAAATCTGAATCCCAGTTGTAGGATAGTTACCATGTCAATCAGGGAAAGTCACTTAATTTCTCTGGGCCTCATTTTCTTCCTCTCTAAAATGAGAGGGTTAAACTAAGCAAGTGTCAGAGGTAAGATCTGCACCCATGGCTCTTCTGTAGTTCCTTCTACTATACCACATTGAATCAGGAAGTCCTGAAAAGGAGACTTTGGTGATAGAGGAAGAGGAAGCTGTGAAGGAATTTATGATTTTGTGGGCCACTGTGGGGTCAGAAAAAGATGAAGAAACTTTGAGATTAGGGTAAGTTTCTCTACAAATGGCTCACTGAGAGAGCAGCAAGGTGGAGGGGACAGGTCAAAGGCTAGAGTCAGCAGAGTAGTCAAAGATCAAAGATGATAAAGCCCCTAGCACCGGAGGTGAAATCACAGTGTATCTTCACATGGGAGCAGCAGAATATTCCAGAAGCTGAGGATCCTCATTCATAGAGGACAGCAAGGGTTCCAGTTTTGTGCCACCATCCCCATCTCTTACAGGGATCGATAGGGTGACTGAGGCAGGTTGCACTCGGCGGGCAGCCACATTAAAACACAATTCACGGACGTTTTTACTGATACTGTTGTGAGCGAACACTGACATTATTAAGGGATTTTTATGAGAAAAAAGGAAAAGAGGAAGTGAGGAATCCATCACCAAAGCTGAAAGGGACTCTTAACAAAGAAATCCAGGAAATCATGATTAATTTGTTTTATTTTTCATCGAGAAAGAGCCAGCAAGGCAAAGAGCCTTCCCTGAGAACAGGGAAGCAGGGGTTCTATATGAAACTGTCAAGACGGCTTCCTGGCAAGGCAGTTGTGTCAGCAACTGGGCTCTGAAGCGAGGTCCCTCCTTTGCAGGCTTCGGCAGCTGGGTTTTCTGGCATGTAGGGTGGGGGAGGCATGAAAATGGTGATCTATAAGGCCAACAGAAAGCCCACACATGAGTCACCCAAAGGTGCAGGAATAGAGCTGAAGGGATTATAAGGGAAGAACATTTCTAGGGGCATCACCTTTATGCTAAGGCTGAAGCCCTGGATAAATGAGACAGGAAGGGTGGCATTATGAGGGCTCTGAATAACCAGTTTCTCATGTCCTCTCATTCTTTGCACTCTCCACTCATCTATCCTTCTGCCCTCTTCTCTTCCTTCCACCTTTCGAGCTTATGACCACCTTCCCCTCAGGTCCTCTCACTCTTTCTCCAAGTTCACTCCTAATAGGGTTACTGTCTGCACTTGCCTAAAATAGGAAGGGAGAGGTAAAAAGCTGACCGTGTCATTTTCTCCTTTATATAGGCTGAATACAAAGTTCTGACAGCTGACCAAGGAATCCCAAGATAACCAAACTGTCCCCAATTAGTGAGACTTAAGGATATGTCTTCAGTTCCCTCTTATGCCTAAAAGGACCTACTTCCTGATCCCCCAAGCAGTGGCCTCAATCGCACATCCCCACCAAAGTGACCAGGTCACCAGACGGCGTCAACTACTCACCCCACTGTGGCCGCAGCAGCTTGCCTTGCAGCCAAAGCCTGAGACCGTGAGGGGAGAGGATAAATTCCAAAACAGTTAGAATCAGAAGAATAAAATTGATTCCCTGGAAGGAGCAACCAAACAGAGAATGGTGAGAGGTGGACACGAGGCCCCGTTTCTAACAACTCAGGAAGAAATGAGGTAAAGGGGAGTATTGAGTGGG